TAAATACACCTATAACTAAATGTCCCTCAGTATGTGTGGATAAATACACCTATAACTAAATGTCCCTTAGTATGTGTGGATAAATACACCTATAATTTCCCTCCCAAACTTCCCTCTCCTCTCTGTTCTCACTCTCACCCTTCCCATGAGTCCCTGGATTACACTATTTTGGGTGAGTCAGTTCTACTTCTATTTTGTATGTGTGTTTATGTGCGCGCTCTCTCTCTTTCTCGCTCTCTCTCTCTCTGAATTTCCTGTATCTATATAAAATCCTAGAACCAAACAGATTTATCTTTCTAAGGCTGACTTAATTCACTAAATATGATTATCATTAGCTGTACTTATTTTCCTGCAAGTATCGTAACTTTGTTTTTTTTTTTTTTCTTTTCTAAATCTTTATTTGGTGTGTGTGTGTGTGTGTGTGTGTGTGTGTGTGTGTGTGTGCAGGTCCATGTGTGCTGTGTAGCTCAGAGGACAACTTTCAGAAGTCTGTTCTCTCCTTCCAGCATGGGTTCTGGGGATAGCACTCAAGTCATCAAGCTTGTGTTTTGTTTTTAACTACTGAGTCATCTCTCAACAGCAATTTTTGTTCTATGTTTCTTTTGTATTTCCAGACAAGGTTTTACTGTGTCTCTTTGGAGCCTGTCCTGGAACTTGCGCTGTTGATCAGGCTGGCCTCAGACTCACAGAGATCTGCCTGCCTCTGCCTCCCGAGTGCTGGGATTAAAGGCGTGCGCCACCCTCAACTGTTTTATCTACACACACACACACACACCCCGCGCGCCAAACAGGGTTTCTCCGTGTAGTTTTGGTGCCTGCAGGGGCAGGAAGATCAAGAGTTCAAGGCCAGCCTCAAAACAAATTTGAACTCACCCTGTACTACACAAGACCATGTCTTAAAAGCCCGTAAGAACTGGACTACAGAGTGAGTTCCAGGAAAGGCGCAAAGCTACACAGAAAAACCCTGTCTGAAACAACAATTTAAAAAAAAAGGAAAAAAAAAAAAGGACAATCTTATCCCCAGGACATGATTATTGTGGCTTATGCAGAATTATTCATTTTGTTATTTGGATTTAGTTTTAGGGGGATCCTAGGCTGCACTCAACTGACAACTTTAACTCCTGACCCTCCAGCCTCCACCTCGAGTGCTGGGGTTACAGGACGGCACGGCCACACCGGCCCGAGTGAGGATTTGAACCTGAATTCCCGGCTCCGTCTTATGCTGTTTGAGGTAAGACGATCTCCCTCTCCAAAAGGCGTGCAGAGCGAGGTGCGACTCTCCCTGTTGAGCAGACTTGCAAGTCTAGGGTCCTGTGCATTTGGGAGCCACTAAGAGCCAAAGGCCAAGCCAACGTGCAGACCTTAGGTATCTGAGAGGGCAGAGAAGAGCAGAACCAAAATACCACGAGTGGAGCCCCGCCTCCATCCTTCCCAGAGGACCCCAAATCCTTCCCGGAAACTTGGGCGCGGCCGGGCTGTGCGAATGGCACAGGTCGCGGGCAAGCAACAGAAAAGTGACTTTGGTGAGGTTCCGCCGAAACCCTCCCCGGGAGGGAAACCTGAGGTCCACGACGGCTGGCACGGACTCCCTAGCCTGTTTCTGGTTTCCTCACCTCCCCGCGAGTTATTTCCTTTCCTTGGCCCCCTAGAGCAAATTTCCTTTTGGTTTGGCCTGACCCAGTCCGGGGAGAAGCCCGCAAGAGCCCGCGTGGCCACCGCGCAAGCGCGTCCGGACGGAGTTGGGGAGGGGCCGGAGCGGGTGTACGCCAGCATGGGCCCCGCCCCTCCGCCGCGCCGTCCGTGACGTCACGGGGCGCCGGCCTCCGCCCGGCTGCAAGCGGTGAGAGCTATCGGCGGTCGGACCTGAAGCCGCTGCCTCGGGAAGGGATGTGGGGGTCGAGATCCTTCTGGAGGGGGCTTTGGGGAGGACGGGAGGTCGAGATGCACCAGCCGCTGCTGCCCTTCAGACTCTGCCCGCCCTCCTCCTACCCTACCCCTTGCAGAAATGCCGGGACGTGGGGCCGCGCAGGGACCGAGCATATGTGACACCTGCGGTTTCTCGGTGGCTTCCATTCCCTCCCACTCTCTCCTCCCACTCCTTACGCTGATCTCCTGCCCTCCAGATGTTTATTTTCATCAGTCTATCGCTTCTTGCCTGGAATAGGGTACTCGGAAGTTGGAGACGGATTTCAAACCTTAGCCCTACCACTTCTGGGTTAAAAGTCCCTGAGCCACAGTATTTCTTCTGCTGGCTTCTTCTGATCTTACGGATCAGTATGACACCAATAAAAAGAAAGGAGGTGGACGTCTGTTGAATTCCTGCATGGTCATGTTTACCGAGCAAACTGCTGCCCCATGGAATCCTCATTACTTGGTGTTCTTAGAACTCCCATTTCACATCTTAACTTCACTTCAGTGAGCAGCGAGAGATTCATTCCTACCTAACTGGTTAGTTTAGCTCCACAGTAGGAACTTTGAACCCAGACGCTTCCGGTCTGAATTCTGGTTGGACTGTTTGGCTGCCAAACTCCTAGCCCCAGATCAACTACTTCCTCTTTTCCAGCTGAGAATTCTTTCCACATCCCCTTTGCAAGTACAGAATGCTGTTCCCTGCTTCTCCCTTGGTTATTTCAGAAACGAAACAGAGCAAGCATTTCTTACATGCTCTAAGGAGATGCCCGTTTTGAGTACAGAATCTTGGATTTTGGTCCTGGCTTTGCCACCTAATGTGTGGCCTTGAGCAAATTCATCGTCTTCTAGCTTTGGCTTGCCTTTGCATACCATGGGTGAGGGCCTTCTGACCTGCAGGCTCTTGTCCAGTTCTCCCTCACTGTCCTCCAGCAGGCACTCCACGGAGGCCCAGACCCCTCTGCTCCCCATGGGCAGCTGCCAGGCAGGGCACAACCTGCATCTCTGCCTGGCTCATCACCCACCTCTGGTCTGTGCCACTTTGATCCTGATGCTCCTTGGCCTCTCCGGCCTGGGCCTTGGTGGCTTCCTCCTCACCCATACATCTGGCCTACGTAGCCCTGACATTCCCCAGGTAAGTACCCGGGTGCTCGCCCTTCTGGTGTGTGCCTGCCCCCGCGGCTAATCTCACTTCTCTCACTCTCCTTTGCACACAGGATTGGGTTTCCTTCTTGAGGTCTTTTGGCCAGCTGAGCCTGTGCCCCGTGAATGGGACGGTCACAGGGAAGTGGCGAGGGCCTCACGTCGTCGGCTTACTGACTACTTTGAACTTCGGAGATGGTCCAGATAGGAACAAAACCCAAACGTTCCAAGCCAAGATCCAAGGTAGTCAGATAGGATTGAAAGGTGAGATCTGGGGAGTCTAGGGTCCAGCGTCAGAACACTTAGGGTTGGGCCAGACTGGTGACCGTGGGCACATCTGTGCCTCTTAGTTACTCCTACTGTAATACAACTAGATAGGATAAGATACTTGCATGTTGTCCACAGTATAGGTTCTGTGTTTTGGCTTTGCTGTTCCAATTCCAAGTTTCTTCAGTTCTGTCCTAGAATGCCCCAGGAGCCTTAGGTTTAAAACCAAATACTCCTCCCCACTATGTGTATGTAGAGAGAGATGGAGACAGAGCTCATGCATGCCTGTTCTGCCTGGTTTACACAGTCAGTTCTGAAACCATCTCACATGCATATATACGACAGCGTTGAAGTATGAGTCACATGCCAATGTGTAGTTCACCCATTTAAAGTATACAAGCAAGTCTGTTTACACAGCTGTGGAGCACCTTGAAATCCATTTTAGAACTTTTTTTTTTTTTAATCATGAGTGGATCTGTACCTTGGCTGTCCGTGTCCCCTTTCCCCCAGGTTCCCAGGACCCCACAAGTCTACTTTCTGTCTCTGGTAGTCTGCCTCTTCTGGACTTTGTTACAACATGCAGTCCTTTGTGACTTAAGATTTTTAAGGTTCTTCACGGTGCTGCATACTTTTAATCTCTGCATTGGGGAGAACAAGGTGGGCAGGCAGATCTCTACAAATTCTGAGCCAGCCTAATCTACATAGCAAGCTCCAGGCCAGCCAAGGCTACATAATGAGAACCTGTCTCCAAAAAAAAAAAAAGAAAGAAAGGAAGAAATTATGCTATTCTTAACACTAGTTTTTATGTGGATATACATGTTAGTACTATTGAGAGTACAGGCACAAGTGGAATGTAGGATAGCTCTGTGGTTAATCTTTTTTTTGTTTTGGTTTTTCGAGACAGGGTTTCTCTGTGTAGCTTTGCACCTTTCCTGGAATTCACTCTGTAGCCCAGGCTGGCCTTGAACTCACAGAGATCCGCCGGGCTCTGCCTCCCGAGTGCTGAGATTAAAGGCATGCCCTACCCTACCCCACCCCACCTTGTATGCAGGACAGGCTCCAAAACTACACAGAAACTGTGAAAAAAACCAAAGAACGAGCCCAAGGGTTTCACATATACTATGCATATGCTCTGCCACTGAGCGACGCCCCTCCCCCTTAACACACTTGCATTTTCTTAAAGTCCTTTCCTTAGGATTAGTTTCTATCAGTAATATAAATGAATCAAAGGATGTAGGCCTTTTTCTTTTCGTTCTCTTTTTAAAGTTCATGTTAATGTATTATTGCTGAAGGGGGTAGTCAGGACACCTTTGTGTAGTTAGTTCTCTCCTTCCATCTTTACCTGGCTTCTGGGTACCAAAGGCCAGTCCTCAGACTTACAAGGCCAGGACTTTGCGAGGCTGAACCATCTTATCAGCCCCCTTCCTTCTTTCTTTAATACTGTACATTTGCTTTTTTGGTGTTTGTTAGTTTGTGACAGGGTCTCATTTAGCCAAGGTTAACCTCAAACTCGCTGTGTTGCTAGAAATGGCGTTGAACTCGTGATCTGTCTGCCTGCTTGCTTCCACCGTCCCGGTGGTGGGATTACAGATTGTGGTACCACTCTTAACATCTGCTGCTTTGTGGTCCACAGGTGCTTTATCAACTGGGCTGCATCCCCAGCCATAGAGAAATTCAGACCACACAGCTAGACAGGGCAAATGTAAGCTCTCCAACAGTTTGGTGAGCGTCCTCCTTGCTCATCTACAATGATGATAGAAGTTGGATGACAGCTGATGTCTGTATTCCCAACAGCTGGGAGGTTGAGTAGGAGGATCACCATGAGTTCTAGGCCAACATGGCTAGATAATGGTTACGAGGCTACTCTGGGCTCCAAGCAAACAACAAACTTTTGGTTTTGTGTCTTTCGTAGACATGTCTTCAACACTGGAATATAGCCTGTGTTTTCTTTAATCCTTTCTGAAAGCTTTCCTTGGTTGGTATGTTCTTTACTACATCTGGGCTACCTATACAGTGAGATGACAGTCTAACTCTGTATTTTTTCTGATGAAAATGGCCACAAAGCTACTTACTGAGTAAGCCGTCATTTGAAATAGGATGTGAACCTTTCATGGATTTTGGTGCCCAGTGCATAACAGCTTTCTTTAAAAGGAGAAGTTAACTTTTCAATTTTTATTTATTGCAAAGATTTAGTTTTTGGTTTTTTGTTTGCAGTTTTGTTTTTAATTTGGCTTGGTTTCTCTGTGTAGTCCTGGCTGTCCTGGAACTTGCTCTGTAGACCAGGCTGACTTCAAAACCAGGCTGACTTCAAACTCAGAACTCCACCTGCCTCTGCCTCCTGAATGGTGGGATTAACCACGCCTGGTTTGCGCGCGTGCGTGCGTGCGTGTGTGTGTGTGTGTGTGTGTGTGTGTGTGTGTGTGTGTGTTTATCAGAGGAGACCTGAAGAGGGGATCAGATCCCTTGGAGCTGGACTTGCAGACCGTTAGAAACCTCTAACAGTGGGTGCAGTGGGTGCTGGGAACTTGGGTCCTCCGGAAGAACAGCCCGTGAGTGCTCTTGGCTGCTGGCTATCTCTCTGGCTGTCCACTCAGTTTTCTACCTCTTTGTCTTGTGCCTCTTGCAGGGTCCTCTGCAGGAGAGTCTATCCTTGTCACAGCCAGAGTGGCCTCAGGAAGGATTCCAGAGACTTGCCTCTATTTCAGTGCTGGTCCGGAAATCCTGCCCTCTAGCCAGCCACCTATAGCCTGCTCAGAGGAGGGAGCTGGAAATGCTACCCTGAGCCCTGTGATGGGTGAAGAGTGTGTCAGGGTCTGGAGCCACGAACGCTTTGTACTCACCAAGCCCCTTACTTCGGTGAGTGCCTCAGGCTGATCCCCAAGGCTTCCTCGATTGTCATGTGGAGCACGGCCTGAAAGGGTTAAGGAGGCAGCTTCACCTAGCAGAGGAAGAATGGGCTTGGTCAGGTGTAGTGCCACGCTGTCTTCCAACCCTGGGACCCCAGGGGCTGAGGCTGGAGGATGGGAAGCTCAAGGCCAGTCTGGACTTCATAATGACAGTTCATTAAAAAAGAAGAGCAAGTGTGATCAAGCATAGGTTTTTATAACCCCGCCTTAGGTCAGAGGTTAGAGACAGTGTGGTCTAGGGCAAGCATCGGAACCTCTCTAAGACTCAGCTTCCTCATCTGCAAAAGCTAACTGTGATGTTATCTACAAATTCCAGTACCTAAGGACTGAGTAAGATGACCATAAAGTACTCAGCACAGTACCTGATAAAGCAGATTTGGTCAGGGACAGCAGCCATTTGTTGTTTGCTTAGGTAGGAAGTTCTAGAACAGCCAGGACTAGCTGGAGAGACTGGGTAGGGGTCCAGCCTCTTTTCCCTGAAAAAATGATCCTTCAAGGAAGAAATGAGTGCAGCCCAGCCTTTTGGGATTCACATGAGGTGCTTAGGAATGATATAGAAGGAAGCAGGGGAAATCTCAGTCTCAGCCAATTCCTGAGTTGCTGTGAATGTTAGGCTGAATGTTATAGTTTGACTCTGAAGTAGGAGCCATCTTCGGGAACAGAAAGAGGCTCTCACTCTGCAGGGCGGAGGAGCTGGACTGAGTGGGAGGGGAGTGGGTAAAGGCTGCTACACTCTCATGCCCCATATTTAAAAAGGCCGTTTGTGCCAGGCAGCGGTGGCCCACGCCTTTAATTCCAACAGTCAGGAGGCAGAGGCTAGTCTGATCTACTGATCGAGTTCCAGGACAGCCAGGGCTACACAGAGGAGCCCTGTCTCAGCAAAAACAAACAAAAAAGGCCATTAGGGGAAGCAGAATCTGGCTCCAATTGTACAGTCTTTAAGCAGGTAAAGCCATTTGCTGGCAACAAAAGTTTGTTTTGGTTTTTGAGACAGGGTTTCTCTGTGTAGCTTTGGAGCCTGTCCTGGAACTCATTCTGTAGACCAGGCTGGCCTCGAACTCACAGAGATTTGCCTATCTCTGCCTCCAGAGTGCTGGGAGTAAAGGCGTGCACCAACATCACTACCCTGCTGGCAACAAAAGTTTTATGGCTGGCTGGAGGGGTTAAGAGCACAGGCTGCCCCTCCAGAGTACCTGGGTTCAATTCTCAGCACCCACATAACAGTTTACAACTATTTGTGACCTTAGTTCTAGGAGACCTGGTGCCCTCTTCTGGACTCTGCAGGCACTGCATGTAGGTGGTGCCCAGATACGTATACAGACAAAACACCCATAATACAAACATACATATAAAATATTTAGAAAGGACCACTCCTGGATGTGATGGTAAACACCTGTCACCCCAGCACTCAGAAGGCTCAAGGCAGGAGGAACAAGAGGGTTGAGGCCAGCCTGAGCTGCATAAATAAGACCTTGTTTCATGAAAAAGAAAAAGAAACACTGGTGGAATGTGGAGAAAAGTGACTCCCGGGGAGTCATTCTGGGAGTTCAGTTGATGATTGGGCAAGCAAGCAGTTTGGAACCCATTAGGACAAATGGTGTCTTTCACCTGATGCCTCAGAGCTGCTTCCTAGGTGTCCGGAGAACTCTGCCTCATGGAGGCTTGTCTCTGTTTTTCAGGGTATGGGACAAGATATCTTCCCACTGGAAGGTTCCCAACCCTGTCTGTCATCTCCCTTCCCTCCCTGTCCCTACCACTAGGAGGAGCTAGCTCTGTGTGGCACCAGACTGCTGGTCCTGGGCTCGTTCCTGCTTCTCTCCTGTGGTTTTCTCTGCTGCGTCACGGCTGTGTGTTTCCATCCGCGCCCAGAGTTCCACTGGTCTAGAACAAGGCTTTAAGGGCACCAGCCTGCTCCGTACTCTCTTCTCAGGTGAGATTCTGTGGGAATCGGGGTGGGGAAGGGATGGCAGTTGTACCTTGGTAAAGCCGACCCTTAGAATCCATCCTCAAGGCCGGGCAGTGGTGGCGCACGCCTGTAATCCCAGCACTCGGGAGGCAGAGCCAGGAGGATCTCTGTGAGTTCGAGGCCAGCCTGGGCTACCAAGTGAGCTCCAGGAAAGGCGCAAAGCTACGCAGAGAAACCCTGTCTTGAAAAAAAAAAAAAAAAAAGAATCCATCCTCAAGGGGCTGGAGAGATGGCTTAGAGGTTAAGCACACTGGATGCTCTTCCAGAGGTCCTGAGTTCAATTCCCAGCAACCACATGGTGGCTCCCAACTATCTATAATGAGATCTGGTGCCCTCTTCTGGCCTGCAGGCAGAACACTGTATACATAATAAATAAATAAGTCTTTCAAAAGAAAAAAAGAAAAAGAAAGGGGGAAAAAAAATCCATCCTTAAATACTGCTTCCTGTGTGCCCCTGAGAGCCCAATTCAGCTATCTCCTTATGGGAACTGAGAACAGTTTTCTCCATAAACATACAATGTTTTGATTTTTTTTTTCATACAATGTTTTTATTATTTCTAGTTTTTTCTGTGTGTGTGTGTGTGTGTGTGTGTGTGTGTGTGTGTGTGTGGCCATGCATGTGCCATGGTGTGCATGTGGAGGTCAGAGAACCACCTTGTGGAGCTGATTCTCTCCCTCCCCATTTATGTAGGGTCAAGAGAACTAAACTCAGGTCACAGGCTTGCTTTCATGGCAAGAACCTTTACCTGCTGAAACATTTTGCTGGGCCTGTTTTTACTATGAAATAAGTAACTTTCATGTAAAAAGAAAAACCATAAAAGTACATTTTGGCAAATTATTATAAAGTGGACACTTGTAAATACCACCCTGGGAGAAAGACTATTATCAGCAATTCAGATGCCTCCCCTAAGCTGGGTAGTAGCAGCGGCATCGCACGCCTTTAATCCCAGCACTTGGGAGGCAGAGCCAGGTGGATCTCTGTGAGTTGGAGGCCAGCCTGGTCTACAGAGTGAGTTCCAGGACAGCCAGGGCTACACAGAGAACTCTTGTCTTTAAAAAAAAAAAAAGACGCCTCCTCCCCTTCCTTCCTGACAGTGCTCTTGCTCTCCCTTTAAGCCCTGCTGTAATGCTCTCCAGTTTCATGCGATGATGCCTTCCAAGTGTGTGATTAGTGAGTGACAGGATTGTAGCCAGTGAAGGTTACTGGAGGTGTGGCCTTTTAAATGAAAACTTTCCCCAGGCGTGGATGTGGTTTGATTTTATTTATTTATTTATTTATTTTAACCCCCAAAGGCTCTACCCTTACATTTAAAAAATATATTTATTTATTTTTACTTATGTGTATATATGTGTGCCTGCATGAGTTTATGCGCATATGTATACAGGATCTCAAGGACGCCAGAAAGGGCAGCGGATCCCTGGAGCTGGAGATACATGTAGTTTTGAGCTGCTAAATGTGGGTGCTGGGAACCAAACCCCAGTTCTCTTTAAGAGCAGTAAGTGCTCTTAATCACTGAACCACCAGCCCCTTATCTTACTTTTTTTGTTTATTTTGAGACAGGGTCTCATTGGTAGCTCCAACCACCTGACACATACTGTTAGACCAGGCTGGCCTCAAACGAACAGAGATCTGCCTGCCTTTGTCTCCTGAGTGCTAAGATTAAAGGTGTTTTCTTGTTTGTTTTTGAGATAAAACCTCACTGAGTAGCTCTGGCTGATTTGGTACTCACTGAGTAGACCAGGCTGGCCTCAAATTCACAGAGATCCACCTGCCTCTCTCTGCCTTCCGAGTGCTGGGGTTAAAGACTTCCCACCACACTGGAGCCTTATTTTTTAACCTGACGTGCTTTCGTACATATCCTCTGTGACTTCTGTCTTCCAAGGAATGTTCTGATTGTAAGACTTACTGGAGCTGCACTTCCCACCTACCCTACGGCAGTGTTAATGAATTAAGAGGGTTCAAGTTTGATGATCTGTTTTAAATATATAGTCGTGCTTTTTTCCTGAAATTTATTTAATATTTATTTATTCATTTTGATATAAGATTTCACTATGTAGCCCTGGATGACCAGAATCTTGCTGTGTAAACCAGACTGGACCCAAAGTCACAGAGATTCATCTGCCTCAGCCTTCTGAGTGCTGGGATTAAAGGCATATACCACTACCCCTGGAAAAATTATTATTGTTGTAGTTGTTTCAAAACAGGGTTTCTCTGTTTAACAGTCCTGGCTGTCCTAGAACTTGCTTTGTAGACCAAGCTGGTCTTGAACTCACTGAGATCTGCCTGCCTCTGCCTTCCAAGTGCTGGGATTAAAGGTGTGTGCCACCACCGCCTGGCAAAATTATTATTTTTTTAAATTATGATATTTATTTACTTTAGGGGAGCACGTATGTGTGTGCATGCAACAATGTCCATATGGAGATCAGGGGACAGTGTCCAGCAGTCTGTTCTCTTTTTTCATCCTGTGGGTGCTAGGAATCAAACTCAAGTTGTTAGGCTGGTGACAGAGCTATCTTGCTGTCCCTCCTGAAATTCTACTCAGATGGCTCCAAAGAATCTAATTAATGGTGATGCCTATTAACTGGACATATACTCTACCCAAGCACTGTATATATGTTGTCTTCATTGCATTTAAAAAGCTGTTTTCTCTGCTAACTAGATTTTTGGAGGGAATGAGCTTGGCAAATGTAGCAAAGGATGACCTACTACTATTAGTACCACTAATTCATGTCCTTTGATTGAGTGAAAAAAACAATCCAAAAGAGATCTTCACCTTGTTGGGAGGGTTCCATTCCATTTGAAAGTGTTAGGCATCCAGCTCTTAAGCCTTCCCTAGGTTTTGCTGGCCTTTGTGGACTAGGAAATTACTGTGGGAGAGTGGGAACAGCCTAGAGCGTGGAACTGCTCCAGCCCAGAGGAACTGGAAGCTCCAGATAACTCTGTTAATTTTTCCTTAAGCTAGGTTTCACTGTCCCACCTTCTAGACCTAGAATAGGAAACAGCGGAGCTCGTTAAATTCAGGAGTGGGAAAAGGCTTTCAGCTTTTTGCCCACTGGTTGATCCTAGGGTTCCGAGGCTACCCCTGTGGGATTAAGTGCCAGAGCCTGTCTCAAGATGTCCCTCCCGCTGTTCCTTCCTCAGTTTTTTCATCCATGCAGAGCTTCTTCCAGGGGCTTTCTTACCTGTTCTGTTTTTCTTTTTCTCCAGGTGAAGATCAAACTCTTGGGCCTACTTCTGAGTTTAGAAGACCTGTTACAAAAAACAAAGAACTGGAATGTGGGGAAATAAATGGCTTTTTGACCACTATTGTGTAAGGTACTTATTGGGGATTGGAGTAAAGTATGCCTTTTGGGGGTACTTTTCCTTGTTGACTTAAAGAATTTTCCTTTTCTTATTGTGTGTGCACACACTCGTGATGTATGTATGTGCCATGGCATCTATGTGGAGATCACAAGAACGATGCCTTTCTGTGGGTTCAGGGGATTGAACTCAGGTTGCCAGACTTTCATAGCAAGCACCAGCTTAGCTGTTTTGATCCTGTCCATTTTGTGGTGCTGTGGATTGAACATAGGGCCTCAGATACGCTAGGCAAGCACTCTCTCACTAAACTATATCTCCAGCCTTGTTTTATTTTGTTTGTTTTTTGAGACAGGATCTCACTATATAGCCCCGCTTAGCCTGGAACTCACTCTGTAGACCAGGCTGGCCTCAAACTCTGAGATCTGCCTGCCTCTGTCTGCCTCCCAGGTGCTGGGATGAAATGCCTGAGCCATCCTGCTGCTTGCTTCATTTTCTCATTTGTGGGTTTTTTTAGTTTGTTTTTTTCTGAGACGGTGTTTCTCTGTGTAACAGCCCTGGCTGTCCTGGAACTCGATTTGTAGACCAGGCTGGCCTCCAACTCACAGAGATCTGCCTGCCTCTGCCTCCTAAGTGCTGGGGTTAAAGGCGTGGCCTCCACGCCCAACTTGGTTTGTTTGTTTTGCTTTTTGATGGTGTGATTCCGTTAGCTTACAGGCTGCTGTGGAACTTGTATTCCCCGGCTGCAGACTCCGCCCGCTGAGTGCTGGAATTAAGCCGCCACTACACCTTTTAGGCATACTGTGACTGCCCACCTGTGCCATTTGATCGCTTGTTTTCTTCCAGCAACTTAAATGGCTGATTCTATTTAGGTAGGGGCTTTCAGATAGTGGAAATGCTTCGACAGAAATGCATCATGACTTCTGGCCAGTCATAACAACCCTACTGGACGGGCTTCCCCCACTCTGGTACATCATCCTCGCCCTTGGGAGCCAAGGTCTAGTGTAGCTACTTGGGAGCATCTTAATGGCCCGTTTTCCCGCCTTTTCCGCGCGGTTGCTAGCACCCTTGCTTTACTCCGCTCAGCCTTCATCCCGCACGCAGGCGCAGACCATAGCTTTCCTTCCTTGCGCGCCCCCTCGGAGCTTCCCCTAGCAACAAGCTCAGTCGCAGCGCGAAAGCTGGGCGGGCGCATGCGCTACAGCTCCCTCCACCGGCAGTCCTCGGACAGCGCGCTTGGGCTCCTCCCCAAGCAAGCCCAGCCTTTCTCCGCTCCTCTGCCCACCCAGGATCCGCGTGGCGGGGCGCGCGCGCACTCGGGCTCGAGGGCAGCTTCCCTTCCCGGCCGCGGCAGCTAGAGGCGAGGGGCGGGGCGATTTCCTTTGGGGCCCCACCCCCTTTGGCCGGGCGTCCCTACCGCGCCTGCGCGCTCCCGCCCGGTCTCCATCTTGGAATTGGGAGGAAGAGGGAGAGGGAGGCCGGGACGAGAGCAGGGCTGTGGTGCGGTGAGAAGCTGAGACGAAGAGGAGAGGGAGTGAGGGCGCAGGGACGATCAGCAGCGCCTCAGCTACAGTCTTCCAGCTGTTCCGGAGAGGGAGGACGGGAAAGGGAGGAGGCCAGGGCTGGAGTGGGGGCTGTCAACTCTCGGACCCCAGCCTGAGAGGGGCCGTGCAGCCGGGCGTCCTCGGGGTGGGCCCCGTGTCGGTGGCCGAAGACCTGGGGCTCAGGCCCCTGGGTCCCAGATTTTGGGGCTTGGCCCCTCGTTTCTTAAATACCCTGGTGTCGAGCCCTCGTATATCAGATATCTGGGACTCGAGTCCCAACCTTTACCAACCTGGGTCTCTGTTTTATACAATTTAAAATACCTGGGATTCGGTCTCTTTCGTGCACCAGTATCCGGGGTTCATTCCCCAGGCGTCCAAATATCGGATTCATTTTTGGTCCTTGCAAATATACGGGGCTCAGACCCCACAATCGGAAATCCGGGATTCAGCAACTGTCGCCCTCGAGTTGGGGGAGGACTGGACCGCGAGGTCAGATCAGGTTGTCACCCCCTCCCCTCCAGGGGAGGCTTCCCGGGCCCGCCCCTCAGAAAGGGCGAAAGCTGAGGAAGAGGTGGCAAGGGGGAAGATCTCCTTGCCCCTCTCCCTGCTTGTCAGAGCAACTGGAGTACCCCAGGCGGAAGCGGAGGCGCTGGGGCACCATAGTGACCCCTACCAGGTGAGACTCGGGTGCATGGCGTGAGTCCCTGTGGCCAGGTCCTTTCTGAGAAGCTGGGGCTGGACAAGCCCTCTCCTCAGGATGGGGAAGCCCTGCTGGGCCCATGGTCAGTTTCTGGCCAGCCTTGCCTTCTGTTGCCACCTCTTTCTCCCTTCCTCTTCCCTTCATTGTGTCTGGTTGAAGGGGGACCTGAGGTGACGGGGCCTGTCATGTCACTAAGGGTCACGCCCTAGGATGCTTAACTAATCAAAAGGCTTTCCACCTCTAGTCTTCTGCCTTATTATTTTTGCCCTCGTAACCACCTCTTCTACATGATTTTATTATACTCTTCTTTCTGGAGTGCTCTAGGGTGTTGATCCCCATGTAGGTGGGCTTATCTTTTTTATTAATTTATTTATTTTGGTTGAGACTGCCTCTCTGTAGCCCTGGCTGGTCGATCAGTCCTTAAACTGGAGGTGGTCCTGCCTTAACCTCTCCACTGCTTTGGCTAGAGGTGCAAGCCACCACACTGGCTGCTTTATATTCTTTTCTGGCTTGGTCTAGTTGGAATTTTTGTCCTTTCAAAGCTGTGTGTGTGTGTGTGTGTGTGTGTGTGTGTGTGTGTGTGTGTGTGTGTGTGTATGTGTGTATGTACACTTGGTAATATTTTCCTCCAGCTGCATTTACCCACCTGTCTCTTGCTGTGACAGTGTAAATAATCTCATACATTTGCCAAGTGACCTACCCTTTACAAAGTACTTTAAAATACATTTTTCTCATGCCACTCTCAGACCTGCTCAACCCATGGGAATTCTTTTATTACTGTCTTCCCATTTTACAGTTGAGAACATTGATGCCCAGAGAGGTTGTTCAAGGTCACCAAGTGGCAGAATCAGGATTTTAACCCAAGTCTTGTCCCTGGCTTGTACCTTTTTTTTGCTATGCCATTTCTTCTGAGCCTGGGTTTGATCAGGGATTGACAGGAGACTGTATCAGGATGAGGTGTAAAAATTGGGGTGTAATGATCTTCCTTTCAAGAAAGGTTATACTTAAGCTTTTCCCGAGAGGAAGCTCTGCTTGTGTTTCTGCCTCCTGGGTCTTCTTTCTAATGTGACCTTCATTCTTACCCTGATCCCAGACTCTGGCCTGGGTTCCAGACCGAGTTCTCTCTTCTGACAAACGATGTCTGTGGTGGCTTTTCTTAGCTGTTGAATTAGAATGAGCCCCCTCTACTCCACCCCCCAGGATTAAGTCTTGTGGCCACCCTAGAGCCAAAGGAGGAAAAGACATTTGTTTAGTGTCTGCAAAGTGTTCTGAGTGTGAGATCTCATATAGTTTCATTCTGTAATCCGTTTAACCAAAGAGAAGTATCAGGAACTCCCCTGAAGCTCTGTTGGCTATACGTTGCAGATGGGATGTACTGGTAAGATAATTTAGGGACTTTTGCAACATGGATTTTAGAAGGTGATTATGCTTTAGCCCAGACCTTGGTAACTGCTCAAATGTTTATTGTAAGGAAGGGGGACCTGTGTAATGTTTTCCAATGGCTGGCCATCTTTCATGTGGCCTGAGGTTCTGGGTTGGCAATCTTGGGCTTGTTAGGGATGAAGAAGTCATGACGGTTCCCTTGGCAAGTTGTGAGCACCTGCCCTTGTGTGGGATGTGGTGAGGGGGCTAACGCTGTTGCTCCAGGAGAAGCAGCCTGCCGTGAGCAGACTTGGAGTTGCTGAGGGCAGTCAATCAATCAATCAATCAATCAATCAATCTCACAAGCTATTCTGAGCCTTTCACACCCTGGGGGCCCACCAAAGACTCGGGCTCCCTCCCTGCCCTCCAGCTTCCAGTTGAGCTGAGGAGACAGAATTAACAACATGGACAGGAAACAATGCACCACAGAATATAATTATATGCTGAGATTGTTAGGTACTTTTAAGTAGCTAGAACTCTGCCTCAGGAGCCCAACTCTGCTGAGGGCTCTTGGTGTCTACATTCCCCCACTAGTCCTTAAAAAGGCCTATCTCGGAGTCCCTGTGTGTTCTGGTTCCCGGACCTTGCGGCAACTTTCTCTCTGAATTTGGCTTGGAGTGCCCCACCCCTAGGGGCTAGAATGACCTGAGTGGCTTTCTCTAACGGGAGGCTATGCATAGTTGCCCTCCTAACAATGCTGTCCGCACCAGACAGGAAAAGGTCCTGTTCTGTGACCTTGGGAAAGCCTTTTTCCTCCCGGCCTCAGTGACTCTGTCTGGAAAATGGTGATTCTGGATGCCTGGTGGTGTCACACTGGCTTTGGGCAGATCATTTGACCTTTCTGAGCCTGTTTACTTATCTGTAAAGGATAAAGGTGACAATATTGTTTATCCATAAGGTTGTAGGAGCCCAGTGAGAGGTGAAGCATGTGAGATGCTTAAATGTCCATGCTCAGTGAATGTTACTTGTGACCCACAGCATCTCATGCGCAGGCATGCTGCTTAGCAGTTGACTGAATAAGTAAGACAACCCAGAACACAGAGGTCCTCAGAGTCAGGTGCCAGTCCCTGCTGTTCCCATTCTAGATGTCCTCCCTGCCACAATGTCCCTGTGTTTTTTGAAAATGAGTCTCCTGGTCCCTTAGGCCAGTACCCACTTGTAACAATGGCCGGATTTCCACCACATCCGGCCTGACTGTTTCCTGTTCTCATCCAGTGTGTGAGAGCTTGAAGGAGGAGGTAGCCTCAACACCAAGGGGGACAGGAAGGTGCCTGGAAATCACTGGACTA